GGAGTTTTCCCTCCAAGTCCAGGCTTTTCGAAAGAAGTACAAAATGCTTCCAAGACAACCTAATAGCGAGGCTTTAAGGGATAACCAAAACCAAGGCCAACAAAACAAAAAACTAGGTTCTGTCCAGCTAAATTTTTTTCCCAATGGCAATGCTTTCTACACTAATACCAAAGTTTATGGTTCATGGGAAAACCTTAATCATTACCCAAAATTTCAATATTGGTCTTGAAACTGTGAGGCAAACTAACAAGTCAATCTTGATGAAAAGATAAAAACTAAAGGAAATTTTCTCTGATAACTTATATTCAGATATGCCCTGCTTACTAACCATTTCCATCCTATTGTGCAATTATAATAGAGTGAAATGGCGCAAAATACACAGAAAACTGGAGAATGAAGTTGGTGATTTTATAATTATTTTAATAACCAGGTTTACATTAACAGTCACTTGATGAACTTATTTTTCTTAAATCTCAGCTAACTCAATACACAGTTTTCTTCATGGTCCAAACCAAACAACTCTTCACGCAGAGCTGCCTCACAGCTATCACAGATCACAGGGAGATTTACTGTCTGTCCCTATCCACCAGACACAGAACTGAACACCCACACACCATGTCTCAAAGGGGGAATTACGAGGAGTGCTGGCTGCCCAGGACAGCCCATGAGTGCTTCTGGGACTTAAGCTAATGTTGTTCAGGGGAGACTGCCCAGGAGGCTTGGGGCAAGACCCAAATTTGGGAACCATCCACCTGTTGGAAGGAGCTTTTCAGGGTGAGCAAAACAGAGTGAGGCCAGGCTTAGGATTCAGGCCTTGGGAGAAGAGAATGACTCTTTGAGTACAATCATGAAAAGGTCAAAGGATGACTGGACTTTGAAAAAAAAAAAAAGCCAATTTGAGAATGACCATATTCCTACTAGTTTTAGAAAACTAAAAGAAATATCTGTACTGGGGTGACTGACTTCAGAGTTCAACAGATGCCTTCTCAACTGCCCAAGCCTATGGCCTTGTAAGAGAGTATTCCAATGGATTGTTGGCTAGGTTTGTGGAGTATTCCAATGGATTGTGGAGGTGGGGAATGGTAAGGCCATCCTCAGAGGCAGCTAAAACTCATAGTCATTTTTTTTCCCTCAATGCTTTGTATAGGGCTGGCTGATGAGTCTATAGAACAGAATAAATTTAAATATAAATTTTTAACTTAAGGGACATGTTGCTTAGAAAAGTTCTCATGTTAATAAAATAGTGTGGCATCTTCTAGGCATTCTCAGGAATTTCTATGCTGATATGCTGCTGATAGTGAGTGGAGAATGGGGGTTTTCCTAAGACAATGTTGCTCACCCTGAGGACACTAAGGGTTGTTCCTATAGCATGGATACTTGTGTATAACATAAAATTCTGGGCTGATTTTGAAAGTCCCAAGTGCAGTGCAGACGGCCATTTGCCCAAGGAAGATGTATTTTCATGGCACAGAGAGGCTGTGGAGGGCTGAGTTGGACTCTGGGTTAGGTAACAGCAGAACAGATAGTGCAAGAGTGGATGCTCAGAACTACATTTATTTATGTGTCTTTTCTTCCATCTGGTGGCCATGGCTGGTATTACAACCTATCCTAAAGCCCAGCCTGATTACTGAGGTATATATATGCTTAAGATCTGGCAAACACCCTTTGTTATATATATATAAAAGTCATTCTGAGTTCCTTGACAGGCCCCTAAGTCTTTGAATTGTAAATTAAAGCTAAATTTTCCTTTTTACTTAAGTTTCCCTTAAAAAGAAAAGCACCATGAGAGCCTTAAAATAGCAAGATTCCCTATTACGAGGTGAGTCTTTTTCATAATTAGAGTAGAAAGCAGTTTGCTAGGGGAAATCCCCTTCCTGAACTCTTTCCAAATTCCTTTGCAGCCAAGTGTTCTTTTTTTTTCTGGTCTTCAGCTAATTAAAACCTGCAGTTAGGGCTGTGGGTGTAGCACAGTGGTAGAGCGCTTGCCTAGCATGTGTGAAGCTCTGGGTTCAATTGCCCAGCACTGAGAAACAAAAACAAAACCAACCTCCTTTACATGGCACAAAAATTCCCAAATCTGCAGTCAGACAGTGGTTTCTCCTAAGTACTTAAAAGGTGTTTGAGGCCTGCTCTGTCTTCAAAGTACTTAGCATACAGGGCTATGGGTTCTACCAGCTGGATCCCCTAGAGCACACAAGTCTGATCCTCAGTTTTTTTTATTTTCCAGCATGAGGCTGTCTGGTTCTACAGGCCTTTGCCTTGCTTACAGAACTAGTCTGATAGCGAAATGGACATTCAACTCTGACAGGCAAAGGCAACATAAACAATCCCTGGCTCATTTCCTTTAGGTGCCCCATCAGGAAGACCACATCATGTCATTTCTGCTCACCTTGGAGATTTTAGTACCCCAATCAAAAGTTCTCCCCAAAGATCTTCTAATGGAAGAGGAAACAAATGGTTTAGAATTGAAAAAACAAAATGGAACTAGGGTTACATAATATGCTTCCTCTGCTCAAGACTGGCTTTCCCAAACCCTGCTTTACTCTCTTATGAGCTGAGATGATGTATTAGTAGTAAAAGTTAGGGAGCAACTAATAAAATCAATTAAAAAAATCATATTCACTCTCGATGTGCCTGGATCTCAGGAGATTAAGAGAAATAGTCATTCACCACTGGTAAGAGAAGCCTTTCATTTTGTCCCATCTGAGCTGAAATCCTAACTCAGGATGTCAGAAGTATGAGCCTCTTCTCAGTTTTCAGAGGCAGGAGAGGGGGTGGTGCCTCTCCAGAGTTCAGAGGGAGGCTATTTCAGCTGCTGCAGCCTGCCTCACTGGGCACCTTTAAGAGAAGCGTCCCTTGCCCTCTTCCTATCTGGTCTCCCAACCCAAGTAAGAGGAGGATTTGAAAGCATCACTGAGAATGAGGCTAAGCAAACACCAGCATAATCAATAGGTGTAAGAAATGGTTGGATGTTGGCATTCTAATAAATGTTCAAAGAAACAAAATCTACCAGGAAGGGACATGACAAAGTCCAGAACCCAAAGACTGTCTGCCTTCTCTGCAGAACCCCAGAGGACCATGATGAAGCAATGTCTCCTACAAGTGGGCACTTTCATGGAAATTAATGTATGTTGTCAACACAATACACCCTTCTGCACACCCAGCCCACCCACCTCCCTCCTACACATCCCGCCCCAGACTCTCTGCACCCTCTCTACCTTTCTCTGGGCTCCTACCACCCACTCACCCCAAATAACCTGCGTGTCTTTTGTTCATTTCCCTGACATCCCAGTTTTGTCTGTCCCCTTGTCATAAGATGCAACACTACACACGCTCTGAACACTATAATACAGCAGACTCTTTACCTTAGTGGCCTGTCTGATTGCATGCATGTAAGTGGGGGAGAGGGTCAAACAAATCAAGGCTATGCATAAACAGAAAACAAAGCAATATTTGTAAAGCTAGGCAAGCAAGCGTAACATGGAGAAACATAAGGCTTGAGGCTTATTGATTCTTTAGATCGCAACATTTTGGATTTGCTTTCTTTCTTAAATATCGGTGTACCATTTTGGCTTCAAAACAATCTCTTCTTGCTTCTGCCCCCTCTTTGGGGAGGGTTGCTTAACTCAGGGATGTGATATTAGAACGGCCTCCTGGGGGTGCCACGATGCGCTTGCTTGCTGAGCGGACACCTTCATCCACTTGGGTGCCTGCAGTTTGAAAACAAATCCCAGGGAAAAACAAGGGAAGGAGAGAGGTCCGGGCAAAAGAGGTGATTAATTTTAAGACTGTAAGATATTAAGTGCCTTCCTGGGCTCATCTCCCAAGAGACTTACACCAATTCACATTCATTCTCCCTTCCCTAGAAAAGTACTTTCTGTCAGGAAAAGCCAACTTCCTATCTAGATTTCATCTGACGTGAGCATGACAATGAGGGAAGAACACTGGTAAGGCTATGAAAGATGGCTGCTTGCAGTATTGCGGCTAGTGATGCTTTAAGAGTTCAGTGCATTATCTCACTGCACCTGCTCACAGAGGAGAGAGGAGGCTTGGAGAGCCTAGGTCCCTTGCTCAAGGCCTCCCAGTTTGAAGGGGATGGTCAGGTCCCTCCAAACAGGAAACACTAATGTGTGCTTGAGTCCATTCAGAAAGGAGCCTTTAAGTTAAGGATTAAGGTGTCGGACAGCAATGGAAATAGTTAAAATACTTCTTAAAATTGCTTGGGTCTTGCAGAATGAAACCTTTGGCAAGGTGAGCTCAAAACTTTGAGCCCTTTCCTTTGTCTTTCTCTACTAGGTCATGTCTCTCATCTTTTCTTCCTGTTGCTTTACTTCCGACTGCTCTTCCTTTCCCTACATGCTGTGACTTTTCCCTTTAAATGTATCTTTTCTTTTTGTTATTTTGCTTACCTCACATTTAAATTTTTTATCATGTAAATCTATATTTTTCCTCATTTTAAGACTACTTGTTATGGAGCAATTGGATAATTACTTTCTATCTATATCAGAGAGTTCTTAAGGACTAGATAAGATTAATAACATGGAATACACATGGTAAAATTTCAATCAATGGAAGCTATTCTTAGTGTTATTACTAGGGAAGAGAGAATATAAAAATCCTAGGTTATAAGAAGCTACTGCAATCTGAGCTTAAAAATAGTTTGAGCTTTCTTGTTTTAACCAGGAGAGATTAAAAAAAAAAAAGAAACAATAGATTGCATGGTTCTCATAGGCTAATACAGAAAATCATTACCATTTCACAGTGGAAATCAACTCCCCTTCTCTGCCACCAAGCAGAGCTAATCTTTAAGCAGAATTTGTCATTATATGAACTTGACTTCTAACCTGACTGTGCCCTGTCTGACTGCCTCACCAGGACTACTTGCTGATTCAGCAAACCTTCCAGCTTGTCCAAGGAACCTTCTCCCTAAAGGGGATGCCAGCACTTAGCTGGAAAACACCCTTAAATCCAGCTCTTAGGATCGCTATCTACCCTGGAGGCACTGCTCTTTCCTCCTTCCCCCCTTCTCTCCTCCCTTGATCAGCGATCAGCTTGTTCCACTCACCTGACAGGCTAAATCCTGACTGATGGAGATTCCTCACTGGTGGGTTCGGCCGAGTGGGAGAGCCCCGGGTAGAGCCTGCGGGGGTGCCCCCTTTGGGGGTGGTGGTCAGGTCAAACACGGGTCCATCATACATGCCCCTTGGGACTGCATGCAGGTCTGCCATCTGCAATCAGAGAACTACGTGTCACTATTCATTCATTCAACAGCATGGGGTCTGCTGTAGGTAGCATAAATATGTCAGTGAATATAGCAAGTGGAGGGAGAACCAGGAGATAATAACAGCAATGGATATACTAAATTAATGTAGGGGAAAGTAGTGCAAAATCAATAAAGAGGCATCACAATAGACTGGGGTGAAAGTTGTCCATGATGTCTTGTCTAAATAGAAGAACTTCCATCTAGAGGATCAAAGGACCATGTTGTGGGATTGGGCTTGAGGGGAAGAAGAGGACTGAGGGTGCTGATGGCACAGGCAACTGCAGAGGGTGGAAAGTGAAAATGCTATGGAATGGGAGAAGCATCAGTACAGCTGGAGAAGAGCCATCATTGCAGCCAATCAAAGATGAGGTCATACACACTGGCCAGGATGGGGTCACATGGGAGCTCCACCCTCACAATCAGTACACATCAGTGTTGCCAAGCCCTGAAATGAGATTCTGTGGTCTGACCCACTGACTTCTGGCTGTGGTTGTGGACTTGCCCTGGGACTGTGGACCCAGCTAGCAATGTCAACCAAGTGTGTGTTCCTCTGCCTTGGGCCTTGTGCCCAGTGCTGGGGTTTATGGTCCTGTGAAACATGGTGCCTCTTGCAAAGGGGCTTAGAGTCTATTAGACAAACACTTCAAAACCACCCAAGGAAGCAGTTCAGCCAGCACACAACCTCCATCCATGTTGCATCATTGGCCAGAGTGAAGCAATGAGGACAGTCAGGAGGGACCATGGTGTGACTCTAAGGCAGTCCCTCCACTGCACCTTCCTTCTGTGCTCATGACTCAGGTGCAGGCACATAGGCAAGCTCATGAAATGTGCAGAGGATAATGATTCATGGAATGATGGCCACACCTGTGCTCCTCAGACTAGCAACTCTAGATTTCTTTGGTTCCAGAATCTATGTCACATTAATAGAGTCAGTACTAGGGAAGTTTGAATTTCATTCCCTTCTCTATGAGGCGAAAACTGGCCACACATATAATGTATGTGTTTCCATATGTGTGTGTGTGTGTGTGTGTGTGTGTGTGTGTGTGTGTAAAATCATGTAAGTGAGGATTTGTTTGAATCACAGTAGCTAAACGTCGTGAACATTTATCCTGTGAAGCGGCCCAGGATAGGCTGGGACATGGATGAGTGGGCAAGAAATTCTGTTCTTCTTTTCAGCCCTTAAGAATAATATAATTTTATAAAAAATATACTAACATTATATGGAATTATTCAAATTTTAAACTACTTAAAATAAAAGCACTATAAAATGTGGAGAAATTATTTGGAAAAAAGCTTTCTTTAGCTAAGAAGTTTTCAAAACTCCCTTTTATAGCCCATCACATCTGTGCCCTTGTTCTTCAGGACCTGATGGCTGCTGTGAAGTTCTTTGTGAGGGTCAAGGTGACACAGGTTCTCTAGCTTGCATGGTTGTTGTCTTTGGCCTGAATGGGACAAGCAGTCCCTCTCCACCTCTGGCCCCACATGCTCCTTACCTTCCTCCTGGCTTTAATACGCTTATAGACATAGTCGGAGAACGGGCTGCAGGGGATGAAGCGGCCAGCCCCCTGGGTCACATGCAGGTTGCCGTCTTCCAGCATGATCTTGCCCTGGCAGATGACCACCAGAGGCGCCCCTCGCAGCTCCATCCCTTCAAAAATGTTATACTCTGCAGCCTAGAGATTGGGTGGGGCAAAGTCACAGACAGCATGGGTGTGGGAAGAGAAGAAAGAGGAACACAGTCATCTTCTCTGTTTAGGATCCTGCGTTCAGTGTCTCCAGAAACTGAGTTACCAGGAAGCCAGGAAAAACTCACAGTGAGTCTGCCAGCTTCCAGACGGGAGAAGGCACCAGGAGACTGATGCTTGCTAGGTAAAGACTGGGCTTCTAGCAAAGAAAAGTATCTGATCTTTACCAAGGTCTTCAAGTGGAAGTCAATTTCTGTAGCCAGCAGTGTTCAAAAAGACACTATAACCATCAGAGATGCTGTGAATGGAGCCTTGTGGTGAGTTGGAGGGTGGAGGGACCCATGACCCTTTGGTCCCTACTAGCTCACAATTACATAATGCAATGTGATGTGATGGTTACACACTGGCCATTTCCACCCAAAATAAGATTTCTCCCTACTTCCTTCACTTAGTCAACAATAAGGGAGATATTACTGAAAAACATCAGTTTGGAGTTAGCGGTTAGGGTATCTGTCTTTTTTCTTTTTCCTGGTATTGGTACTTGGGTTTGAATTTAGGGCCTTGAACTTGTTAGACAGCCACTCTACCACTTGAACCACACCCCCAGCTCTTTTTTGTTTCAATTATTTTTGAGATAGGTTATTGAGACGTGTTGACGCAGGTACTGGTCTAGACTGCTATCCTCCTACATATGCTCCTCCATAGCTGGGGTGACAAATACACTGCACACCCAGTTTTTATTAGCTGAGAGGGATCTTGCAAACATTTTGCCCAGCATGACCTTGAACCGTTATCTTCCTAATCTCTGCATCCTGAGTAGCTAGGATAACAAGACTGAGACACCACACCTGGCTTTACAGTTAGGGTATTTGATTTTACCAGCTTCACCATTAATTTGCTGCATAAATTATTTAATTTCTCCACACTTCTAGAGATTAGGAAAATCTATAAAATGGGGATAATAATAGTAACTTACTGGTGGAAGACTGTAATGGAGATTCAGTAACCTAAAAGCACAGTGTCTGAGACATACTTGCTTAGAAAATATTAACTATTTGCTATCCAATATTAAGTACATTTTTTAGGTTTGGGGCTTTGGTTTTCATCTTCCACATGAACAGGACACATGACAAAAATATTAATACTTTCCCTCTTCTTGAACCAAAAGGCCTGCCTAAGCCTCAGCACCCCCTGGAAGCAGAGGTAGAAGTAGAAACCCTTATCAGCCTCCATCCCTGACAGATAAGGATGGACAGGACCCCTCTGCTGACCCACACACTGTGGAAACCAGGAGTGAGAAATACACAGTTTAAGTTTGAAGTTACTAAGATCCAGGTGTATTATTACTGAAGCCCATGTCTAGTCTACATAGGCATGCCACGGAAATATAATTCTCTGGACCCAGCCCTGTGCACATCTTCCCCATCCCACCAGCCCAAGCCTTACCGATTGGTGGCTCTTGGCAGAAACGATCTTCACGGCATCTGGATCCCAGATGACCAGGTCACTGTCAGAACCCACAGATATTCTGCCTTTGCGGGGATACAGGTTAAAGATCTTGGCAGCATTTGTGCTTGTCACAGCCACAAACTGGTTTTCATCCATTTTTCCTGTGGCCTATTGAAATGCAAAACTTAGATATCTGTATCTGTACACTATTTTTATCAATGCAGGGCTTCTGAGCTCAGAGGAAGACCCCAAAATATAGAGAAGGCTCCAGGTGGTAGTGAACACAGACCCTTGGCTGGATTGTCATGGCTGCTCTCAGGCAAAATGGATAAACATGAGGCTTAAGATGGAAGATACTGTCCTAGAGTATACATTTTTTCTAAATATGAACATATATTTACCCCTCCTAAATCCAAAGGGGATTAGAGAGAGTTCACAGTAAAGATAAGTGTGCTCATGAGCCCATTCTTTAGGTATGTGTGTTTGGATGCTCATAGGTAAATAGGAAAGCTCCTCCCCCAGTGGTCACAAAGGTTATCCCTGACTTGAATTATGAGCAGGATTTTTTTTTCACATATGTGTTTGTCTGAGGTTTTCAAGTTCTTCTGAGCATGTATCATGTTGGCAATTTAATGATGGAGTTATGCATCACCTAAGGATGGTGCTATGTTCTGAGAAATGAGAAATTCTCCAACCACCTGATTAGGTTATTGTGTGAACATCATAGAGTGCACTTAGGCAAATGAAGACAGCTATGCTATCCCTGGGTGGTATAATCTTAAGGGATCACTCATGTGGCCTATCATTGTCTGAAATGCTGCTATGCAGCATATGAGTGTATGTATTATTTTTTAATAGATTTATATAACACCAAGATACATAAATGCACATATTCATAAATGCAGAACAGTATTTCTAAAAAGGTAAATGCTAACTATGTAAGGAAAGAGACCAAAAAATTATACTTTCTGTTTTGTTAAAACAAATGGCCTGAGTATGTAAAGAATTAAATTTAAAACCTACCCTTGAGATTCCTGGGTATCAAGAAGAAAAGAGACTCAGTGGATTACACTGTGTAGACATTAGTGCGACATTAGCTCATGCATTCTATTTGGCACTGAACATGGGGAAGTAATCAACTTAAAAAATGAGTTTGTTATTAATTTTACTGAAAACTTTGGGAAGGTCTTCATTTAATTTGCTGGTTTTTTAAAATCAGGTCTTGTGATGTGATTATAAAAAATAAAATGAGGCCACTCTGGCAGTAGACACTGATAGATAATCTCCTTCATAGCCTGGAGGATCTGTGCCCACAGTATAGGGCATCCTTATGAGCAAAATGACTTTTCAAAGCCTTACATCTAGTCCTTTCAAAAAAAAGTCATAAGAGTCCCCATGCAAAAAGAATGAACTCATGCAATCAGAGCTATATGTCTGCTTCCTAGTTCTTAGCATTCTAGATAAGAATCTTTAGAATATTCCTTAAAATACAAGATCTCAGTATGCATCACTAGAAGGTAAATTATCAAGCCACCTGGATCTGTGTACATCTCAGCAGGTGTGAGATGTCCCCTGCAGCCTGAGGATCCTCACCAGTGAAGCCCACTTGGTTGGAGGAGCAGTGCCCTGATCTGCCCTGGTTACTTTTGCATAACCTCAGACCCTTACCACAGCCTTGTCCCAGATGACAGACATTCGCTCCTCTACCCCATTGGTACCCTCAGGGATGGCTGTAAAGTTGTCCTTTCCGATGGCTTTCTGGGCAGTGCTGAAGGTGCAGTGGGCACTTCCAGAGAGCTGCAGATCCCCACTGGAAAAGGAGAAAGCGCCGTATGAGCAGGAGAGATGGCTGGGGCACATCAGGGAACCAGAATCCAGTGTCTAGTGTGAGAGTTTAGTTTAGAACCCCCCTATCCCCCTTACTAGCTGTGTGGAACTTGGTGAGTTTCTTCCCCTCTCTGGGCTCAGTTACCCCATCTGGAAAGTAGGGGGTGAGGTTAGATCATCTCTTTTGTAGCAAGATAAAAAAGGACTTAAATAAGTGATGGCCCGATCCTACATGTCCACAGAAGGAAGTAAGAAATGATTTTGGCTAAGTGTCATCAAGACCAGTAAGTTTGATTTAGGCAAATAACCCTTTGACCTTGCTTAATTTGTAAAGTGGTGATAATAAGTGCCTCACTCACAAAGTTGTCATGAGGATCAGAGGTGATTAAATCATGTACTAACAGCCATGTCAGTGACAGCATGGCCTTTATTAACATTATTACTGTTTTATCATGTGAAATATCATGGGGAAGAGCCAGTTTTCTGCACACAAGACTGCAGGAGATTCTCACACTGCAGACTCTAGTCTAACTGATGGATGGGACTATTCCAGCCCCAATCCCAGCTGGCCCTAAGATGTTTCCACACAATGCCTGCTACTTGTCATTCTTGCACCAACCTGGCCAGCAAGGAGTTGATGTAGTCAGGAGTGGTTGGGTCAGGGCTCAGAGGCGGGGATGTCACAAATGCAGCCGCCTTCGCCCAGTTCTTGCTCCAGTAATGGGTTCCATCTATTCCCAGGCTGGCGGTGATGGGCTCGCCAAAGACCACGTTTCCTGGAAGGGGTAGGAAATGGCAATAGGTTTGTGCAAACTACGTGCTGCATTGGACCCAGCATATTTAATCAGAGCTCCTGACCTACCCAAGGCTGTGGCTCTGGAGTTAGGCAGACCAGGGTTCAAACCCATGTTCCTTCCTTTCCTAGGCTCTGTTTTTCTATCTGCTAAGTATGAACCACTCTGTATTCCCTAGATAAGAAGAAGCCATTGATCCTCAAACTTGGAAGAAAATTAAAACTCAAGCAAAGAAAATAATGGAGCTCTATATAGATAATGAGAGTCATCTTCACTTCGGAAATATTAAAATGTGAAGAAGGTGTCTCCTAGAAATGATGAAGATGATGTCTGCTTCTCAGGCCTGCGAAATAGGAGGACTGAGCCCAGGTGAAGGGTATGAAATGTAGTAGACGCCCAGTAAATACTGACTTGATTAAACTCATTGCAACTTAAAGAGAAATGTAGTTGGGAGGGAAGAGCAAACACGCCACACTCTGTCTTCCTGCGGGCATGCTCTTGACTCTTTCTTGGAGAATGATAGTTCACCAGATGTTTACTCACTTCCATCCTGGCAATCAATTTTTCATCACTGAAATCATACCTCCCTCTACCCTGTAGACCCAGCTGTACTACCATTCTTTCCAAAGAAACATGAGCCAGAAAGCTCATGTCTGAAATAAGACCCGTCTTGAGGATGGGTCCCAGGCAAGAGGCGACCATCAGTAGAAGGCATGAGGGGGTGAATATGGTGATCAGTCACGGCCAGAAGAGTCTGTGGTAGGGGCTAGGGGTTATCTCCCTCTCTCTCTCTCTCCCTTCTCTCTCTCTCTTTCTCTCTCTCTCTCTCTCTCTCTCTCTCTCTCTCTGCCTTTCTTCAAGAACAGGTAAGGAATATTGCACTGTTCCCCTGGTTGTTGCTCAGTGGCTCATGCCCAGTGCAGCATACCAGCCCTGTCAGCTGTGGCTATGAAAGCTTACCCAGAATCTGCCAGCTAGAAAGACTGCTGGACACCTAGGAAGATTCCCTTTCTATTGGAAAAGAGTTGACCTTCTCCAGAAGGCCAGGAATCTGGCAGTCAGCTGGGACTCCTCTTAGCCACCTCCATCACCAATACGTGGAGTTCCACAGACCTACTTGACAGATGATTCACCAGTCTTGGGATTCTCCACTACCAGATGGCCACTGACACAGCAGGAGCAGCTGATATCTGACCTGGTAAACCTGCTTTTATAACAAAACACAACCCACAGCTCGAGTTTCTCAAGCACACTGTTCATTTATTTAGCTTCACTTCTGAGCCCATTGCTACTGAGGACAAGACACACAAACACAAAAGTAGGCTTTGGAACAGGAGCAAAGTTTAGCCAAGCACAAGTCAAGCACCTGACACCCAAGTAGAGGAAACAGAAATGAAGTCAGGACTCTGTGGTGACAGAGCCCTGGGCCATGAAGGCCATTGTGTTAGACAACCTTCAGAGACTCATTCAACCCCTTTTCTAAAGTAAACTTCACTGGCTGGGCACAGTGGTTTGATCCTGTAATCCTAGCTACTTAGGAAGGGAAGACTGGGAGGGTTGTGGTTCAAGGCCAGCCCAGGCAAAAAGTTTAGGAGACCCCATCTCAACCAATGGCTGGACATGGTGGCATGTACCTGTCATCCCAGCTACATAGAGAAGTACAAATAGGAGGATCATAGTACAAACTGGCCCAGGCATAAAAACGAGACCCTATCTCAAAAACAAGCAATGCAAAAAGGAGTGGCAGAATGGTGTAAATGGTACAGCACCTAGTTAACAGGTGCAAAGTACCACCAAAAAAATAAAACAAAATCAAATAAAATAACCTTTGCCAACCTGGGTGCTTGGGTGGTGTGACCCTTCCCTTGCCATCTGCCCTCAATTCTGGTTGGCAAGATGATGCCAGCCACAGGGTATTCATTGGTCCAGGGATTAGCATAGGCCCCAATCCAAGACAATCACAGTGCTATTGGAGCATGTACTTAAGCTGTTGGGAAAGATGTATTCTACTTCTCTATGATGTATTCCACCAAGAATTGAGGACAACAGGAGACTCTTGGCATCTATTCTTGTCACTGCCCATACTGAGCATAAAACCATTAGGAAGGAAAGAGGAATGAAAAAGTGATAGAGTCTTAATGTCATTGTTGAAACCCCTCAATCTAGCCACACCTGAAACACCCATAAACAAGCATTTATTTTTGCTTGCATGTTTAAGCCAGTTTGGATTAGATCTTGATTAGCGTGTCTAGTTAGAAAGCTCAAATAATTCAAACTGAAAACAGCAGATTAAAGAGAGGAAGGGAGATGCACCAAGTCTCTGAGGAAATGATTCAAGCTGTGTCATCTTGAGCAAAGTACTTAACCTTCTTGAGCCTCAGTTTACTTATGTGTCTGGTGGGAGAAACCTCAGACTCTTAGATGTGAATAGAGGCTTCCTATAGAGGAAGGCAATGAGCAAAATAGGCACAATTTATATTACAGGGGACAGAAAAGGAGGGAAGGAACACATGGTACATCAGGGGCTCTAAGATCCTGAGAGCATAAATCACCTTTTTTCCTGGCTTGTGAGATGAGATCAGCTGCACTCTTGCTCATGACCTTTGTGACATAGAGAGGGCAGTTGGTTTGGCTGGCGATGGTGATGGCTCGGAACACAGCCTCAGCTTCCAGCTGCAAAACAAGTGAATAGAGGCATGAACGCTTCACCCTTGCCACTCCTGGCCTCCATAGGCTGTGAGAAAAACCACATAAGGGGGTCTGAAATTAGACAGCCTGGATCCTGTCTCAGACCCACCACCTTGCAGTTATGTCACTCAACTTCTCAGTGCTTCTACCCCTCACTGGTAAGGTGAGATAAAGAGGAGCTTAGTGCAGGGCTGTGCCTGGGAGAAATGCTGGCACAGAATGAGTACTGATTTGCTGTCAGCTAAGTTTCCCTTAGACTCCCTCTTCTCCCTGTGGTTATCACAAAGGCTGCATGTTTCTGCCCCCACTCTTCTCAGGGAAGAGTCTCTGGAAAACACAATCATGGCACCATCAGGTCTAGAATCACCTGTGAAGGTGATTAGGTGTTATGGTTCCTCTAATCACTTCCTGCAGCAGCACGTACTCAGCAGAGGGTTAATTCTAGGAGGACTTTCTTTTTTAGAAAGAATTTATTAGCAAAATGTAGTTGTACAGGGGTATACATTGTGATGTTTCTGTATGTGTTTACAATATATCTTAGATTCACCCCCTCCACCATTCTTCCTCTTCCCCCCTCCTTTTCAGAACAATTTCAACAGGTTTCATTCTTCAATTTTCATGTATGAATACAAAACACATCCACCACATTCACCCCCATTCATCCTTTCCATTTGCCTACCCCCCTCCCACTGATACCCACCCCCAGAAAATACTTATTTTACCCAGGCTACTCGGCACAAAGACTTCTTTTATTGTCAATCTCTTCCATTCCACCCTAATGTAGAATTCATGTTTTGAAATATGCTAACTAACCCAGCTGCATTTAGTAAGCAAGAAGTATGAGTTTCCCCTTATTTTACTAACAAAGTAGGGCCTGAGAGTCCAGGTTCCTTAGATGGCCTGAGAATAAGTCCTGGTTCTGCTATTATAAGCTGGGTGACCTCAGGTACATAAAACAAATTCCCTGATTCCTTTGTCTGCAAAGTGGGGATAATAATAGGAACTGGCACCTAGGGCTATGGTAAGAGTTACATGAGTTAATCCCTGGAAGCAGTTAGGGACAAGACAAGTGTCCCTCAAAGGGTGATATTGGTCTTCTTGTTGATCACAGTTTCTGACCAGTGTGAGAATCCATTACTACCCATAGCCCAAGCAGAGACATTGGCATTATTTTTTCATTTAATCAACAACAGTTCCTTTTTGTGTGGCAGTGACTTTCTGGTTAGCCCAACACTTAAAAAACAATACTAAAAATAGCTTGCAGATGCCCAGTGGTTGTAATAACGCAAGCCAATCACTGCTGTGGAGGAAGTTGGCTGGCTGAGCTGGCATCCCCCAGACCACACTTGTCCTATCTATATAAAGCCCAGAAACCCCTGGATACAGGTGGACATAGCCACCCATTTGAAGCACCCAGGCACTGCTTCTAGGGTGTCTGCTAGAATGTCTGCTTTGTGCCTGGAGTTTCTCTCTCTGAACAGCATACATGAGAAGGAATCTGGATGTGCTCTGAGTCCTAGAGGGGCTGGCTTTTATACTCATTCTTCTCCCTTCACACCTTTGCTGACCACTTCAGCTCCCCCATGACCTCAGTCCTGGCTGCTTTGATCTAATTCCCTCATAGCACTGCAGGTTTTTCCACTTTGACAACACAACTATCTTTGGAAGGTTACATCATCCTCCAACTTCATCTAAAAGGGCTTCCAGGGTTGTAGAGATTTGCAGGCGAGACTTTTTTTTACTAAAAAGGAGACGGGAACTGAGAGAAGGTTGAGGTTGTGGGGGTAGGGGAGGTTGAAAAAACAAACCAAGAAACAAAAATAGACTTTGCTCTGAAATCTTCTGGCTGTTGCTGAAGGACTCTATCTTGCCAGCACATCTCTCCAGTGACCAGGATTTATAGTTTCACAAACAGTGCTGATCACCCTGGCCTGCTCACATTGTGTAAAGGCCTTTCCAATCAATCCCCAGACATGGTCAGCCAGTGGTCTAACTTCTCTGAGCTTCAGATTCTTTACTTCCACACTAATGTCAACTACCTAGAGTGGCAGCAAGTTTAACAATAATGCATGTAAGCAGCATGGTGGCAAAAATAAGCATGCCATAGAAATGACATGGTATTATTAAGGAGATAAACTTTTCAGAGGTGTGTGTAACTGGGATGTCAATCACAAACTTATAATATCAAATGGCAATAAAAGTATCACTAGACAGAAGAGAGCTTCTGGGGCACTGTATCTCTACCTGGATGCTACTTATACAAGTGTATTCAGTTTGGGAAAAATGCACTGCACTTTTATAATAGTTTTCTCCATTTCTGTTACATTTTAATTTTTAAAAACATTGTAAAAGGGATGGACAATGGAATGTGATATCTTCTGGTTCTGATTCTTCTACCTGTGGTAGAGTATGGAATGACAGGACAGGACAGGATTTGCTTCCCTGACATGAAGAGTCTTAGTTTCATTCCAGGTTGACAGACCCTGGCTGCTCTTCCACATGGGCAGGCAATCCCAGCTGTGTGCCCCATGCCAACAGGTGAAGTTGCTGACATCCCAGAGACATAGAATCAGTCACTAGTCACCTTTTATTGGTTCTTTAGCTGCTAAACACAGATGCACACCATCATTCATTTTACATGTGGGCAACTTCCATACCTGGGTATTACACAGGTCGATTAACAACCCATTCAACCTTCTGTCCATGTGACCAATATTTTGCAAGACTCAAAACATAATGTAAAGTAAGAGAGTAAGTAGAAATATCCATAATGATTAAGAAAGGAATTAGAAATTTAAGACTCTTCCTGAAAATCCATGGAGCACACTGCAACTTGTGTTATCTTTAGAGAGAGTCAGGGTCAGAAGTAGTTCCTTTACATTCCTTTCTAATTTTCTCATAGGCCTTGAGCTAGGGCTGATCAGAAATTGTGTTTCAAAGAAATGCTCCAAATTTGCTATCTGGTATTCATAGATCCTCACCATATTTCAGGGATGCATGTGGCTTCAGAGAGTAGGCCAAATAGAAATGTCCCAAATGTAAGGAGTGGCAGGCCATAGCAAGGTGACCAGGACTCTAACAATCAGAGTCTCATGGAAGATGCTGGTAAAAACGAGAGCCCCCATTGCTACTGTCTCCCTCTCCCTGTGCCCCATGCCACACCTCCACTCCCTGTAACTCACCTCCTCTGGTCTGCTCAGAACATGGCCTTCTGGGCCAGTTATTCCCATTTCCAACATCCGGGTTTGCTCCTAAAATGAGAATACAACAGAAAGCGGTCTTAGATGAGTTCATCCAAGATTAGGAAAAATTACACTGATATGTTCTGATTCAAAGATGTGCTCAAGGGGGGTAAAGAATGAAATGTATATGTTGAACAAATATATTAATCCTATATTTGGAGTTCCAATAAAAGAATCTTAACCAAAAAGAAGAAAAATTTAAGTGTGGCTTCCTTTTATTTAAAGGAAAACAGTCAGTCTGAGTGTCCATTTTGTGTTTACATTACCAATCAAAAGTCATGTCATGTGACTTATTCTTCATTTCTTTCAGACCTACCTACCTCCGAAAATACACTTGTTTAACTTGTGGGTTTGTTCATCTAGGCACTTTAAGCCCATGTATTCAACAACATGTACTGAGTATCCATTTCATGGGAGGCTCTGGGTTATGTACTTGAATGAAGGCATGATGCCTCTGACCTCAGGGAGCTTAGTTCAGTGTCATGTTCCCCAAAGTGTGGTTGACCTACCACCAACATCAGTCACCTGAGTTGCTTTTGTAGCGATGTGGATTTCTAGTCCTGTTCTGGCTTGCTAAATCAGAAGATAGGACCCTGAATCCTAGCAATGTACATTTTGATAAACCCCTCTGGGTATTTATGCTTTAAATGAATGAATTCAGAGTTTAGCCAGACAAAACAATGCTTCTAGACAGCATTACCTGTGTTAGTATTTTGGCCAAATTCGATTTAACTACATAGTGGACATTGCTAAGAAATGCCTGCCTCTTGTGGCAGATTGCTAATTTCCTCAGACCTCTGGGCAGCTTTCATGAAGAAGCAGGTGGCTGGGCAGTGAACACACACAGGAGCTAATTGGGACTGGCAGAAATCCCAAACCACCATATCTACAGTTTTGCTGGCATTCACCCTGAAATTACTAAGGCTAGTTCCTTTAAACCTTTGCTGCAGCAAGCCTATCCCAGTAGCCTGGGAGTATCCTGGTAATGCAGGAGTGATGGTAAGTAGAAAAAGCCTGTCTTACTTTGAAACTATGAGATGTTTAGCAAAAAAAAGGATTCTTCCACCTGGAAAAAAGAACCTTTTAGTTTTTGTGTTGTTAATAATTCAAATGACTAAAACAGGAGGGAAAAGGAAACTGTACATACTATAAGAACAGTAAGAATGAGAAATTTTTCCAGCAAAGCATCTCCACTTTGTACTCTTACCATTTCCGTGTACTGAAACCTGCATGAATAAAATTTTTCCAAACTCCAATGGGTGTCTGCATGGCATTGCTTCAAGCCACACATGAGTTAAGGTTTACAACTAAGTATTTCCTATTTCATATGACACTTACATCTGTCCCTCTCACATGTGCCAGGATAATACACAGGACAAAACTAGTTAGGCAGTAGTTCCCAAACACATTCCCCAGAAACACATTTTGAAAATATGCTTTCCTGAACTCCACCAATTAATTACCGAATCAGAAGCTCTGGAATCAGGAAAATCCAGTGATTCCAAAGCACCACTTATTTTGGGAATTCTGTTCTTACATCCGAAGTGTTTCTACAGCTGGCAGATGAAAAATGACACGTGAAGACCCACTCATGCTCCTTTACACTGGGAGCAGTGGGTCCTCTGACACACTCGTCACAGCTATAATGACATCACAGCTCAGGTCATGGCACAAGTGTGTGTGGCTTGCTCCAATGAGGAAAGGAGATTTGTCTTTTTTGCCTTCCCTCTCTGAGGCTTGGCACATATAGATGCTCAGGAGATATCTGTTAAATGAATGCTGAAGATGCTGCACTCTTAGACTATCTTGCTCCCTTGAAGTTTTGAAAATTGCCTTTGTTTGTACCCAAAGGCAAAGACGTCTTCTTGCTCTTCAGTCACTTCTGCAGAAGTGCAGCAAGAAACTGAGTACAGCAGCTGTGCCTTCATTTAGACCATGTGATACAATCTCTCAGCTCAAGCTGAATTTAATAAACACACACAAGAAACTCATCCAAATGGAAACATGCCTTTACTCTTTTCCTGACTGAGAACAGATCTACCCAAGGTAGAGGAAGAGTGGGGGCGGAGGGGAACCACAGAGAATTCTGTGCTGAGGAGCCACAAGAGGAAAGGAGCTGAGAGGACGGGGCTTTGCATTACAGCCCTTGGCCTCCACAGAGGCTAGAATAAAGAGCAGGGAGCTTAGTCTCCAGGGCAGCTGGAGGGAGGGCTGGGACCTCTGGCTGCCGAAATGCACACTTGGAGAAGGAGAAAGAGTGGCAGTTCTATATCAGCAAGGCACCTCCCCTGGGAGCTAGGCTAGTACGCCTCTATGGAAGATTGTTTCCTTATGTTGGGGTGTGGGAAGAACGTGGGAGAAGGCATGTTAGAGGCTGGACTAATTAGCCTCCTTGGTCATAGTAGTGAACACACTTAGTTCACCTCCTCAACTAGCCAGATAACATTCAGAGTCTGAAATCACAACAGTGGGATTCCTGCAGTGCTGGAGTGCTGCCTCCCCAGCAGGCCTGTGGTTGGGCTGAAGGAGAAAGGGACCCCAGATACGCTACCCAGTGAAGCACATCGCCTTTGGGGCCAAGATCTGCTACTCCCAGTAATTTGCTGTGATTGTTGAACTAGTGATCTAACCCCTCTAGCCTTCATGTTTTTGTCTCTACAATGGGGAGAGTGATGGCATGCATCTCTGAAGGACTGGAAGCAGACTCAATGCACACATGCTAGAATATTTGCCAGGGCCTGGCATGTAGTAGTAAGCACTCACCCAGAGGCCTGCTATGAGGAGGCTAACTGGTCTGACATGAAGGCCAGCCTATACATTGCTCCTTAATCCTAGAGGGCATATTCACTAAGTCTAGGCATCTTCTGAAGTGAAAGTGCAGCCCAAGCGGTGTGAGCTATGGACTGAGTATGTTCGGTTCACCTCCACAGCCCAGTACTGGCACAAAGTGCTCAGGACACATTCTTTGAAAGAGTGACCGATGGTTCTCATTGTTAGTGTTGTCAAATGGACTAAGAGAGTTCCCGGTTCTTTTCTGACTGTTTCTTCCTAGCAGGGGCCAGTGATGAATGCATCTGAGATAAACATAACCCTGCCTAAGACACATCTGTGCATTGATTCTGAGCTAGAGAGGGAACTGCTTCTGCTTACTTACAAATGATCAATTTGGGCCTTGGGGTCCTTGATTTCATCACTCTTTCTTCAAATTTCTCAACATGATTTCCTGGAAACCAGTGGGACATCTGATCCCCATGAGACATAATTTCTTTATCTCTAAGGCTGTGATTCTAAAGCCCTGGATCAGGTTTCTGGCTTCTGAGAAATGCTGCCTCAGGGTTTTTCTTTAGGACAAAGAATGTCATGTAGCTTTGACTCATTTTCAGCAGAGAATCAGCACGGCCTAATTTGAAAGCCTCCTGTTCCAGGATGCCCTTTGTGATTTGCCAGGACAGCCAGACTTCCTTCTGTCTTATAAGCACATTCTAGTTTCTTTCGCTGGTCTTTATTTCTCCCCCATTTTATCCCCTCCACATAGACGGCAAGGATCTGTCTTTAGCAAAGTACTTACAACAAAGCCTTGCACGTACTGGGAGATCAAGTAACATTGAAGAAATGAGGCAACAGATGGGATGCAAAGCCTGGTCTGCAAGGCAAGCACACATCACAGTCTTACCTGGGCAATGATATCCCCATTCTCAGCGTGCACCTGCGCAATGGCCCCCAGTTCACCCAGGCAGGTGAAGATCTCATAGAGCTGAAATAGAAATGAATCTCTGTCACTTTCACATCCACTTTTTGCAATCTGACATAAAGTCCAATCACTAAAGCCAGAGATAAAACAAATGGAATAAACAGTGACTAAGGCTAAAATGTAGACTGAACTAGCATTACCAGAGAGGTATGCTGTAGTCCAGCAATAGTCCAAATAAATGCTAAGAGGCTCTGCTCATATAAAGAACTTGCGGTTCTCCTAGACAGGACCACTATACAATGAAGTGCTGAACAACCTGCTGTCTGCCCTTGGCACATATTTTTAATGGAATCCTTTCCCACTGAGCTGAGATACTGCTTCAGAATCTTCAACAAGTACTCTAGAACACCAGGACAGACTAGTCAAACTAACACAAAAGCCAAAACTCTTATCTCTGAACCCTTTAAGACAGAACTACATTTATTTCCCCTAACCAGATTGCATGGGATTCATTCCTCGTATATCCTCTGATAACGTGAGGTTTATATAAAACAAACACATGCCATGACTTTAAGAGGTGGAGGCAAGCTGGTATAATTACTCCAAAGAGCAGGAGCCCTCTTGGTCCTATGAAGCAGAGAACCCCACACTTTCACTGAGCCATAAGGGATCTGCAACTTGTTCAGTAGATGGAGATACAGGTATGCCTTTCCTCTTATCTTTCAACAGCTGCTGCCAGTGGAAATTCTAACTCCATGTCTGCCTTGCCGTGGGCACCCTGCCCGCTATCTTATTTAAAATGCAGCGTGAACTGCAAGAGTTTCAAGAAGCAGTTTGGCCCAGCAGTTGGTCTCCTACAGCGACCACAGTGGCTCATGGTACAAGGCCAAGGTCATCAGTAGCAACAGGAAACCCATCCAGATACCCAAACCACATAGCAAATGGGTTGTTACCTCTGTGTTGGACACCTGATACAAATCCTTATAGGCCATGTAAACCATGAAGGAGTTAACCCCTGCAAGACAGGTAAGGAAGGGAAAACAGAAGAAACACAACATTATCATACACCCTCCATCCTTGCTCCCATCTCTGTCACCCATAGACCCTGAGTGCATTGCTCAGATGCCTGTCCAACATAAAGACAATATTTTATATTTCTCAAGAGCATTTTATTGTGTCCATTCCTACCCTGCAAAATCAGTAGTTCTTAAGTGAGAGCTCTTCTTCTGTACCTCTTTCTCAGCTCCCCCTCTAGCATTACAGCCTAGAGGTCAATATACTCCAGTACCACCACCAAGAATCACCCTGACACACCAGCTGTGTGCATGCATTGGGGCTGTACCACCTGAACACAATACAACCCTTAAGCAATAAGCTTAGAATACTTAACATCCCTGGTTTCCTCACCTGTAAAGTGGAAAAACAACAATTCCTTGCTTCAAAAAGTGTTGGTGACCACAGAAGGAGGTACACCTTAAAGGAAGACTCTAATACCTACTGTGGTGGACATTTGGTCTCCATAAGTAGATCTCCTGAGATGGGATTATTTCACTATTTACCAACTGCCTGCTTTACACTAGGTCTGTACAGAGTATGGTATTTTAGGGGAGAATGAAGACAATAAAACTAAGCTCCTTTAAAACTGCTTCTTTGGACTGGGGCAAGTTTCAAGTGGTAGAGTGCTTCCTTACCAAGTATACAGCCCTGAGTTCTAACTCAAGTACTGCCAAAAAAAGAAAAAGAAAGAAAAGATATTATTTTAGAGATTCAGCAGGTGCTGATGTATTTTCTGCCACTAAATGTGTACTTCTGAATATATATATAGATATTGTTTTCTACAATTTGCTTAAAGAATAAAGTTGAAAGACAAATCTGGTTTTGTTAACCTAGAAATATTCCTTATGATTTTTATAATAAAGAGTATTGACTCTAAATGCAGTTTAAAGAATAGTTCTTCAATTTAAATAAAGTTGTCTTCTGTGCTTAAATACTTAAGTCATCAGGGTTATAAGAAAAGAGCTATTTAATTTTCACCCAAAATAAATAGGTAGGACTGGAGAACAGAGAATTATTTTGAGGAAAGGAAGGTAATTTTGGTCTCCAACCATTAGGGCCATTTCAGCCCACAATGTTCCAGGCCACAAATGCATTATAATTTGAGAACGTCCCTACCCAGAGGGGTTCAACTCAGGGCAGTTTTCCCCACCACTGCCCTTATCAAAAGCCTCTTCACCACCCATGGAATGATCTATGTTCTATGTGGTTGTTAAAGCCATTCAATTTTCTACCCCAGATGAGATGCCCTGTGAAAAGGAGATGCAGAAGGAAGGAAAGGGGCAAGTCTGACATTCCCTGTCACCAAGGATTAGGCGGGACTTGTGGGGTACAGAAAGAAAAAGAAAGAAAAACACATCCTCTGAGGGACCATCCTTTTCCCTCCAACCTAGGCACATGGTGCTTCTCCAAACTCTTTGCATTTGGTCTACACTACTGATAAGATCAGTTCTTGCTTCTTGTGGCATTCATTCTGTTGCTTTTCCTGGGACTGCTCTCTTTTCCATTAAACACTCAGCAGAGACCATTACTTACACTTCCTTAAGTCTCCCAGACCACCTTACAATGCTGAGCACATGGTACATATGTGTATTTGTACAGTGGAGGAGGATGTGTGTGTGTGTGTGTGTGTGTGTGTGTGTGTTAAAATATCTTGTGATGAAAACACAGAAGTAGAGAACAGAAGAATCTAAATAGATAATGGGACAGAAATCATGTATTCACACACACACACACACAGGAACATATTTTCACATACTAAGGTCGAAGCCTAAGTGCCAATGTATCCTTGATCATAGAAATATTTTTGCTTTTTCTAAGGAGGCCATTGTTACATAGTAGTAATAATTTGAAAATTCCTAATCTATATTTGCTAGCCATGTAACCTTATATAGGAAAATTAACTTCTCCTAACTCCTGTTTCTTCCTCTGCAAAATGGGCAGTATTCTATAGAGGTGAAAAACAATGGCTTTTCATAGATCTGTTGCTTACTAACTGTGATTCTGGGCACTTGTTCTGACCTTTAGACTTTAGTCTGCAAAGTGGGACTAGCGATCTCTGTTTCAGAAGGAAGGAAGAGTGCATAAATAAAGTGTCTGGAACAAAGTGGAATCCCCACATCTAGTATACATGCTTAAGATTTCAGAGTCCAAACAAGAAGTGATTCAATCTGGGTCTTAGCACTCGGAAAGCTGAGGCAGGAAGAGCAAGAGTTCTAGGCCAGTCTGGATTACCCAGTGAGACTTTGTCTCAAAAAAAAAGGAGTGTGATAACTCAAATGAATTCATGGTGTGATGGAGAGGACAGGCAAGAAGAAGCCAAGGGAGGAGAGGGGAGACATGCTTGAGCTCACCTTTGTCCTTGAGGAGGCTCTGTACTTCTTGCTTGACGCTGTCATTCCAATGGGTGATGTCTACATGCAAGGCATAGTCACAGCAGCTCTTCCCATCAGCCCACTCACGCCACTTCTCATAGGCCTCAGACAGGCTGGACTCAGGCTCAGGAACCACATGATCAACTGAA